TATACACATATATATATTTCAGCATATAAAATATATACTAATACTACACACACACACATATATTAATAATATATATTACTAATATTTTCTTGTGAAAATATATATGTTGGTAAATCGTTATTTGCAAATACGTTTTACCCAACAGTGGGATACAGATAATTTTTCAAATGCTAATCAAAAAAGTAAAGTTTTATTTTTAAACAGTAAAGTTTAATTCTGATAATTATAATCACACTTTAGTTGCTTTCCATTTGCACTCAAGTGATACTAAGTCACTCAGTTATGTGAGTATTTCATACTCAGACAATGACGTCATTGACTTGCTTATTTTGGTAACAAAGCTATCATATAATAATATAGATTCATAACCTCACTTTTAATGTGAGTCTATTAGACTCACTAAAGCACACGGTCTCGATCGTGTGCAGAAACCACGTAAAAACTCAGTTGAATCTCGCTTGCTAGCATCAAAAGGAACGTGCATTCAACTGAGTTATGACGTCACAAGTGAGAATTATCTGAGTTTTGATGTAAATGGAAAGCAACTTTTGACTATGATTATTCTTTGCACATTAATTACTAACTGCATAATTTTTTTGTATAAAAGTTCATCATTAGGGTTATTACTTTGATAATTGTACGGTTTTATTGGATCTAGAGTGGTATTTCAATAAATTAAAGTGGTTTCGACGTTTGCAAATAGAGAGATGTCCTACTCTTTTATATAAAAAAAATCGTTGATAAAAAAACTACATTATCTAAAATATTTATATTCATATATATACATGGATTGCTGATGAGCGCGGTTATCGCGTTCCTTAGAGGAAAATGTTCATGCATGCGCGTTAAAAATGGTTTACGCGAAATTTTCGTTCTTGTCTTGGTTCTTTATTTATTCACATTAAATTATATAATTTCCAGACATTTTACGAACTAAAGCAGTTGGAAATTTACTTGATATTATTTAAAAGAATAGAAATTACACAATTATATATTATATATTATGGCAGTTCATTCTTTATTAGTTATGAATTATCTTGTACATTTTTAAATATTTATTTTCAGAGCGATATTATATGTATAAATTTCTCTCTAATATGACTGATCTTTCGAGGACGGAATTTTTGAGCGAGAACAAAGATATCAGTAATTCATCTATATATCAGTTGTTTCTTTAATATATTTCTATAATTCTCAGCTGATATAATTAATATCTTGGCACAGTGTATCTTGCTGTTAAAATAACATGTAATCATATTATTTGGGGGTAAATAACCGAAGGACTAAACTCCAATTTAAAAAAGCTGTCTTTTATATATCAACGTGAAAGTGCGATGTATAGATATTGGTGTATGCGTTCAATCATTTGACTTAGGCGTCAGTCGCTATGATTTTTAATCTTAGTTACTACGTTGGAGTGCGATATGATTTAGTCACACATTTTGTTTAGGGAAACAACGATTCAACTGCAAACAAACGGGTACCACTAATACCACTAATATCCGATCTTGAATATATAGACGAACCGATAAACCGATAAATAAATTGAATTCGCGTTATTAAAAGCAAATTTTTTTTCTTTTCTTTTTTATTCTTTTTTTAAGTTTTGTTACTAAATCTAATTAACAATTAATGTTTCTTTTTGTATCATCTATCACGAGAAGGGAGAGACACTATCACTGTAGCGATCATCCTGTAAGGCCATGTATTTCGTATTACCGTTAAGATTAAAATAAAAAAAAAAGAGATAAATAAGAGCTTGACAGCGTGGCGTACCTGTGATCGCGCACGTATATAATATCGAGCGTCGTCTAAAACTTTAGTTTGGACACGAGAGTGATTTAAGAAAGAAAAGATGAAATTGCAGCCAAGCGGTCGTCACGCCGTCGCGTTTACATTAAATATATAAAAAATTATGTATAATATTAGTATAGTAAAACTATATCAAATAGGCATTATATAAAAAGGACGACAAATTTATTAATGCGCGTTTGTACGTCACATGCGGTCCGCGTGCGACGAAAGTTGTTTGCAACTCGGTAGGAATTTAGATATAAATATATATATATATA